TAACTACTTCCTAACCACCTAATCACCACCTAACCACTTCTCTGTCCGCCTGATCAATGCCTAACTGCTCCCCTGCCAGTCTGCTTTCCCCTAACTGCTCTCCCCTGCCAGCCCAATTGCCCCTAACTGCCCTCTCCTGCCAGCTTGGTCACCCTTAACTGTCTTCCCCTCCAGGCTTGGTTGCTCCTAACTGCCCTCCTCTGCAGGCCTGGTCACTCTTAACTGCCCTCCCTTGCTGGGCTAGTCACCCCTAACTGCCCTCCTCTGCTGGCCTGATTGCTTCCAACTGCCCTCCCCTGCATACCTGGTTGCCCCTAACTGCCCTCCCCTGCCAGCCTGGTCACCCCTAACTGTCTTCCCCTGCTGCCCTGGTCACCCCTAACTGCTATATCCTGCTGACCTGGTTGCCCCCAACTGCCCTTCTCTGCAGGCCTGGTCCTCACAAACTGTCCTCCCCTGCTGGCCTGATCACTCCCAACTGCCCTCCCTTGCAGGCCTAGTCCCTCCCAACTGCCTTCCCCTGCTGGCCTGATCACCCACAACTGCCCTCCCCTGCTGGCCATCTTGTGGCAGCCATCATGGGGGCAGCCATCTTTGACCACATGGGGGTGGCCATCTTGTGTGTTGGAGTGATGGTCAATTTGCATATCACTTCTTTATTATATAGAATGTAGAGCACCTCACAATTCAAGAAGCTATTCAGATTCCCCATTACTATAAGGAAAGGTAAGAATATTTTTTGTAGTTACATAAGCATTGGTATTATTTCCAGTATAGTGAGAGATGATTATGTCCTTAAAATCTTTGATAAGTAGTATAAATCATGAATTTTAAAAATAAAGAGGCATATAAAATTTAAACTTTATTCTAGTGGTTATTACTATGGAAGCTATATTTGGAAGGCTGAGGTTCTCTTAGTTAATATTAATGTATATTCCTTTCTCTTAATTTACTATATGTATACTGTCCTGAAGATGACTAGCTAGCAATAATGGCATTTCCACAGTGTCCCGGGACTTAGTTGTTTTATCCATTCTCTGAAACCCAAAAGCCACATTTGCTAATGGCAATGATATAACACCAAATTCTATAGAAACATATATTCCATAGTTACTGCTTTAACAATTGAGATCAGAATGGAGGTGGATATTATCATAGAGTCACTAGGGGTGATGGAAATGAACCATGATGGATATATAAAATGTTTTTCTGGCTGGATGCCTAGCTATTAGTTTGTAGTTCCCTACAGTGTGGAGCTTCCGAGGCCTTAAATTGCTGAGTAGAAAAACAGTAACAGTGATTTTAAATGCTTCTATTTCCTTTCAAAGTAAGTTTTAATCAAATTCACCCCTTAAAAACTACCATCAAAGCTTCAGAATTTCACACCTGGTGCTGTTGAAATGCAACAGAGAAAACAGATTTATTTTATTCCCACTGCAAAATGAAGAGGAGCTACTGAAAGGAAATAAATATATATGAATTCATGTAATCCATAAGTTTAAAATATGCATTAAATACTTATATAATACTGGTTTGGAAACCAAAATAATCAAATCTATTAGGACCAGTACATAAATATTCTGACAGGTATTATAACTTAAGTGTATATATGTCTGAGAAATACAGAAGTGTTGATATATATACATGTGTGTCTGTGTGTGTATGTATATATGTATATATGTATATACATATTATTTTAAAGGAATATTTAATATATATGTTTTGTAATCATTAGAATCAGAATGAGAATCTTACCAATTAGGGCAGGAGTGGGGAACATCCAGCCTGCAGGCCTTATAAGGCCCGTAAAATCATTTGGTCTGGCCCTGCCAAGGCATTAGGGGTAAGTTAATTAAATGTTTGACCAAATATAGCAGGCTAATCTTTAAGTTGCTAATTTTGTATGGCCCATAAATGATGTTTTAAATATTCAATGGTCCTAGTAAAAAAAATAAAAAAGTTTCCCACACCTGAATGAGAAATGAATTTGGTCTTAGGATTAAGAACAAGTAAGAAAGGAGAACTGAAAGGAAAACAGCAAGTAGGGCTGGGTAATGGCCAGCTGATATTTAAGCAGTTCTACTTTAGTTTTTAGCCGTTTGTTTTTTTATATTAAATCATGCTGCATACATTATCCATCTATACTCAATATCCTACAAATGCTTCTGTGTGACAGATATGGCTAAAAATAAATCCCATATGTCTGCTCTATAGCCTATATATTTAGGCATTAATTGATTTATTAACTAATTTAGTTCTTTTGAGACATTCTCCTAAACTTATTTGTTATTTTTTAAAAACTTAGATTCTATGTTTGGATAAAAATACTATTTTTAATGCTGAACAAATATACTTCCAAACATTAAATTTTCATGTAGACAGCAATGTTAATCATTGCTTTAAATATTAGCCATAGGGTAATAGAATGTTGGGATATTAGAAAATTTAGAAGTTATAGAGTCAAATTTTAATTTTTTAAAAATCTTCAACTACTATTTAAAAACATATTTTTATTGATTTCAGAGAGGAAGTGAGACTGAGAGAGAGATGGAAACATCAGTGATGAGAGAATCATTGGTTGGCCACCCCTTATAAGTCCCCCACTGGGGATAGAGCCCAGGAACTCGGGTATGTGCCCTGACCAGGAATTAAACTGTGACCTCCCAGTTCATAGGTTGTCGCTCAACCACTGAGCCAGACTGGCCAGGCTTCAACTACTATTTTAATGAAAAGTTAATCAAATCAATATTAGACTATAGGCTTCATGAGGGCAAAGATCAAAGACTGTTTCATTCATAACTAATGTATAGCACATTGTATAGTGGCTTATAAACAATTGTTGAGTGAAATAATGAAGCTGAATTAGAGTCCTTATATGTGGCTTGGGATTCAACGATATACAGCATTATCCTTGTTTCTAGGAACCTCACTATCTCTGGGAAAAAAGAAATACATAAAGTGATTTGGTACAGTATATGTGAAATTTAAGTGTGATAATTTAAACACATATGGTCATCTATGAACGCACATAATTGAGAGCAGCTTATTCTGTTTGGTGGAAATTGGAGGAGGGAGAAACTTAAGGAAAAATGCAGAAAGGTGTCATTTCAGCTGGGCCTTGACCAGAATGGAACTTCATCGGGCAGAAAAGATGGGGTGATCCAGGAAGAGAGAAGATTTGCAAAGGTAGAGTTATAAAAAGAAGATGTTTTATTTAGGTACAATCAGAGTGAACTGAAGAACATGGAGAGTGGGAGCAACAGTCAGGAACTGAAGCCAGGGCTAGGAAGAAAAGGGCCACTTGCCCTCTTCATTCACTGAAACTCATTCTCAGGCAGGCAGTCTCTTGCATGGAGTTTGGATTAGAGTTGTAAGAGGATGACTAACGCAGGAATATCAATAAATAAACTGTTCATGTATTCACCAAATATTTCAAATCTAGTTTCCTGATATGCCAGGTACACTGACTGGGAAATGGGCTTTTTAAGATGCAGAATACAACAATCTGAGTTACAGATACCGGGGGTTAGAACATGACATGGTGGGAAAAGAGGAGAGAAATATAAAAGAGATATTTTGAGATAAAATGAGCAATCAAGTGCAGTCAATGAAAATGTAGACAGATTTAAGGATGGATTTCAAGTTTATAGCCTGAGCAATTTGTTGGATTATGATCCATTAACTGAAATATGAAACACGGAAGAAAGGTCAGATAAAAGGGGAAATCAGTAGGGGATGGATGAAGGAATAAAAGAATGAATGAACTTGGTTTCAGAGTGGTTGTATTTTTATTCTAATGGAGTGTGGGTTCGGAAATCAGAAGAGAGATCCAGACTATAAATTCAGATTTGTCACCATCCATGTCATTTCAAACTGGGAGAATTTATACAATAAAAATAGCATTGAGCTAAAGTTAGAAATTTGGACACAACAATATTCGAAGACCAGGTAGAGTTTTCAAAATTAAGGAAAATAAAGGAAGGAAAATAATGTATATTGAACAGTGCCATGAAAGGCAAGGGAGAAAAGACCTTCCAGAATGAGGGTGCTGGCAGACTTGTCAAGCGCAGGTAAGAATTCAATTATTTTAAATTTAAATTTGGGAGGACATTTGTTGGTTCTGACACTAGATGAGTAAACAATTTATGTTTAAAGTTGCTACTTTTCACAATGATACTTCTAAATATGTATATTCTTTCTTTATAAATATATTTATCAACTTCAGGCCACAAGGGAATGCAACTTTGGTCTCATGGATAGTATTCCAGACAACAGTATAGTGGTTACCAGAGGGGAAAGACGGTGGAGGGGGTCAACTATATGGTTACAGAAAGGGACTAGACTTTGGGTGGTGAGCATATGATAGAGTATACAGATGTCATATTGTAAATTTGTACAGCTAAAATTTAATGTAATAACCGATGTTATGTCAGTAAATTTAATTTTAGAAAGTATTCCAAATATACATCTTCTAATATCTACAGTGGACTGATACAACTCCAAATTATAGAATATACTATGCCTTCTAAGGGAACAGCAATGTTAACAGCTACAACAGTATCATAAACTCACCCAAGTCACGTAATTTTATTAGCAAGTGGTCCAAAACCTAGAAACTTGGCTCTTGATTAAGTTTTGTATATTTTTCCACTCTGGTACTAAATACCACAAAGAAAACACACACACACACACACACACACACACACACACACACACACACAAATGAAATGAATTTCCTGATTAAATTAAAATAATATTTTTGCCCTGTAACTTTAAAATTTTTCATTTTATAGTGCTGAAGACAGGCAGATGGTTAGATCACTACCTTCTCTTGAAGAAAATATCACATGCAAGAAGACTGAACCTATGAAAGATGGACAGATTTCTAATGCCTACAGGCCCTATTTTTAACCTTGTAAGAAGAAAACCCTGCACTAGAATTCAGATGAGAACCTCTTTGAGTCTCTCAAAGGGCCCCGAAGCAAAGTAGTAGATGGTACCTTGACTTTTTCCAGGTGATCCTGAAGAGAGTCAATAAGGAGATCACCCACGGGTTGCCAGGATCCCTTAATCACCTCAGCTTGACGTAGTTTGAGGTCCAGCTCATCTGAGGCCTCCTGAAGTTCCTGGAGTCTTTCGAGGGCTTCATCGAGTTTTCTCTGCCAGTCAGCAGAGTGCAGGTTCAATTTTTCCCATTCAGTGTTCACCTCCTCAGCTTGCTTTCGTAGGAGCCGTGTGACATTCTGGGCTTTTTCTTCAGGTGGCAGCTCTAAATTGGTAATATGACAAGGTTTTAGGGCATATTCATTTTTGTGTGTTTTTTAAAATTATTGTTTAAAGTATTACATATGTATCCTTTTTCCCCGATTGACCCTCCCCCCTCCCCCACCACTTCCCCCACCCAGGAGAAGCCCCCACCACCCCAGTGTCCAAGTCCATTGGTTATGCTAATATGCATGTATACAAGTCCTTTGGTTGATCTCTTACCCCACCCCCTCAACCCCCATGACTTCTCTCTGAGGTTGGATATTCTGTTCAGTGTTTCTTAGTCTCTGGATCTACTAGTATTTGCATTAAAAAAAACATTATTGGTAAGGTCATACTAGAAGAAAAGGAGTACAGCTTAACAAGAGGCCAACCTGAAGATTAATAGCTCTTTTGCACATTTGCATAAATTCAGATCTAATCCAACACATCTCAAATCTGTTTTCCTAAGTGAATTTGTTCTACCTTTTATCAATCAGATAATCCAAGATTCATTTAAGCTATTGAGGAGAAAATATTAGGATGCAAACCACAAGCTCCAATTACTTTCAGTCAAGCTCTTAAACTGTAAATTAACTTGGATCTTTGTAACAATAGAATTCCTCCTTACAGATAATCTCTTTTGTTTATTATTTTCTAAATGTTTTAATAGCTGACCATTAATCTCTTTTAATGCTTACTTATGAATGTGCAAACAGATTTATGCATGGTGGTTTAGAATTCCTTATTCTTTTTCAACATCTATGTGCAATTTGAATCAATTCAAAGTGTGAGAGCTATCCAGACCCTGGCAGCCAGAGTGGATGGGCTACTAAGTCACCACTGATCCTTCTATCAGTATGTTATTACAGTTCCACATTCAATTACCTCTGGGCTCCTGGTAGAGTTTCTCTAGTCCTTCCAAAGGCTGCTCTGTCAGAAATATTCGTACAGTCTCAAGAGTACTCATGATTACAGGTTCTTTCATTTTCAATTCCCTCTTGAAGGCCTGTGAAATGAAATAAAAAGAAATGCTTATTTGGCTTGTGACATTATTCTCAAAATTAATCCTGGGTATTCAGAACTTGGTTATAAAATTCCCAGGTCAATTTCTATGTCTTTTATTTATAAACATAAAGTGATAAATGATATATGGATCTTTCTGTTAATCAGGAAACAACTATGTTTGTAAACCATTCTAGAGAGAATGGGAAAGCTTTCAAGATATGTTAATGCCCTTTCATTAATATAAAAGTGATTTATTTATATAACTTGACTCCCAAACTTAAAATCTAGAGCTAAAATCACAATATATATTTTGAAAAATCCTAATAGGGCTAATGAAAACTTGTACATATCCAAAAGAAAGATTTTCCAGAACATAATTGAAAGCCTAAAGAGCCACTTGGGCCCGGTAGGGGTGGATCCATGATTGAGCATGGACCCAGGAACCAAGTGGTCACAGCTTTTGATTCCTAGTCAGGGCACAAGCCTGAGTTGTGAGCTCAATCTTTAGTAGGGGGTCTGTAGGAGGCAGCCCATCAATGATTCTCCTTCATCATTGATGTTTCTATCTCTCTCTCCCTCTCCCTTCTTCTCTGACATCAATAAAATATGTTAAAGAGCCATTTAGAAGAACTTAGTCTCTATTGAAGTATACAACCCATCCAATTAATAATTGCCATTAATTTTACCAAACTGTTAGACAATAAATAAAACAATATATTAACAGTACTAAGGGGAAAAAAACCCTCAAGCTTAAAAACATACCTACTGCATTATTCATTGTAACTTCTTTGAGATTGGTAGAAATATTTTGAAATATACTGGTAATAGGAATTGTAGGAATAATTTTCTACAAATGGGTAGACTTACAATAGGTTTTTTGAGGTCAGCTGGACTGGTTATTAACTTTAATATTTAATGTGCAATTTTCCTTGTTACAGGGGTTAAAAGAAAAGCAAAATGCAGAGTTTCTGCCTTCAAGAAGTTTCAGGACCAAAAGAAGAGAGAAAGCTAACACACTAGAAAAAAAGTGAAAGCAATAAAATTCATACATAATTTAGTGCTAAGGATTGTGAGATATCATGTAAGGTTAGGATAAAATAACAGATATTATGAAACCATTGAAGATATTGACCCAGATTCTACAATATCAGATGTGAAGATGTTAATGAAAATATGAAGTACCATATAAATGCTAAAGATCAGTGTAAAAACCATAGTAATTTTAGTTGCCCTGATCTAGGGTTTAATTATTCATTCCTTTAAAAAATTCTACTCTATTTTGATAGTGATGCCTACTGACTTTAAGCCCTTTTCTGTTATTAGGAGAAAAATTATTAGGTCCTTTAAAATTCAGATATATTATATTATAGGAGCTCTCTAGAACTGTATTGTATGACACTTATAAATAAAATCTTAATGGTGCTTGCCATTTAAAGGAATTTTGAGTCTGATACTTTGCAAAATGATACTTTACAATTCAGTAGAAGAGAGGCAAGACGTTAAAGCCAAAATAATGAAATTCTTTAAGTGCAATATTAGAATTCAGCTTGTGAATAGAGCTACAATTTCTGGATAGTGGGATATTCTTGAATTCTTTTAAAAAATATATTTTATTGATTTTTCACAGAGAGGAAGAGAGAGGGTTAGAGAGTTAGAAACATCGTTGAGAGAGAATCATCTATCAGCTGCCTCTTGGACACCCTCTACTGGGATGTGCCCGCAACCAAGGTACATGCCCTTGACCGGAATCGAACCCAGGACCTTTCAGTCTGTAGGCCGACGCTCTGTCCACTGAGCAAAACAGGTTTTGACTATTCTTGCACTCTTGAAATCATATAGAATAGGTGGGTTATTTACTCTGCTTATAGATAAGTCTGGTTCCCCCTCTAGCATTTCATTTGGAATTGGTGTGTGTTTATACAGTTCTTGTATTCCTGTGCTTTCTCATATATATAATTTTCCCAACTTCAAGAAAATTATTATTTTCCCCAATCTCTCCATGTGGACTTGACAAGAGGCAACTAATACTGACATTGCTAATTATAATGGCTCCCTTTATCGAACTACTACATTTCAGTGGTTGTGCTAGAGACTAGAAATACAAAGTTGAACATCAAATAGCCACTTCCCCATTTAAGAACTTACATAATAGAAGAGGCAAACCATAAATTATTTCAATATAATGTGGAAAGTGCTATAGGCTAGCCCTACATAGGCAAGGAAATTGGGAAAGGCTTTAGAGAAGACAGTATTCACAAAGAATTCCAAAGCATGAACATGAGCTAGCCAGGAAAGAGCAGGTCAGAGGAAGAGGAACAAAAGAAGACAAAAAAATGCAGGTATGAAGACAGAGGATATAATTCAGTGTGTCATATATACTTATCATAAGTAGGCCATTGTTCTAGAACATAAAGTATAAAGAAAGGACATATCTAGAGATGAAGCAAGACATTGTCATCTTGCAACATATTAGAACTTTAAGTCAGAATTTGAAGCTCAACTTATGGCCATATATTCCTTGCTAAGAAACCTAGGTGTTGTATCATAAGTAATCAGGAACATTTGAAAGGATTTGAACAGGGGAGTGGCATGGGAATATGTGTGTTTTAGGTAAATTTCTCTGACACTAATACAGAGCATATATTTGAGAAGGGCAGATATAAAAATCAGAGAGACCAGTTAGGAGGCAATTATAAGAATTCAGTGAAAAATATGAAGATCTGACTCAGGGTAATGGTATCAGAAAAAAAGGGACAGAGATAGAGTAATGAAATATTTAGAGAGTTGAGGTGTGAGTGAGAATTTGGTGCCTAAAGAGATAAAGGAGATAAGGGAGAGGAAGGAGAAAGGATGACTTCCTAGGTTCTAGTTGAGTAGAAGAGTGAATGCTGAGTGCAATGAAATTAAATGTGAAAAAATAAACTCTCCTGGATTTCTCAATACACCGATAAAAAGTTCTAGCCTCCTGAGAGTCTTCACAGACCATGGGAATTAGATCTGTAGTAATTTGTCTAGTTAATTTTTCTGGTCCAAGAGGGCCAAATGATCATAGCCCAGAGTAGGTGCATAAATTAAGCTCCAAGTTGTTGGAAAGACTGGAGTGGTTATCCCCCTAGAAATTTACATTAAAAAAAGTCCAGATATTGAAGATAGTTCCAGGTTATAAGACCTGAGAAATATGGGGCTATCTGGCTCCTGGAGAAGATGGAGTTAGGACTCAGATCTATTGTGTTTTCAAACTTCCTCCTCCTTTATAAGCAGAGAAAAAAAATAATTTTTTTCTGATCTCTCACCTATGGAGCACCCAGACACTAATTAAGAAGAAATTTTATTAGTTCTTATTATGTCTCCCTAAGGATAAGACTTGGGCAGAGATAGAAGAGTGGTGATGCTATTTACCGTTATTAGAAGAAAACTATCCCTGGTTCAGAACACATCATATATACATTCAGAATAAATTTAATAAAGATTCATATTTAAAACACAACATTAATATGAGTGGCATCTATAATGTATAAGGAGGTATGATATGCTCATCTCAGAGAGGTAATATTCATTCAAAAAGGAAATAAATATGTCACATATTTAAGAAGAAGAAAGGAGATTTAAGAACCAGTCTCTCACAAAGATAATATCCATTGAGTGCCTATGATTATACATATAGGCAAGGATTAAAATTACATAAGTAGATAAAATTTCTCAGTTAGTGGAGTGAGATGAAAAGAAAATTCTGGAGAATATAAAAACTTATTAGGTAGACAGAGGAATTGGATCCCAGGAAAGGCCAAAAAGGAATGGATAGTTGGAAGATTGGGGGAAATGAGGAGTCTAAAACTATTGAAGAGAGAGTGAGTTTGAGAGAAACAAAGTAAACAACAGTGTCCAATCATGGCATGCAGAGATAAAGCAAAATCAGCCCTGACAATTGTACATGTGACTTGGTAAGAGCAATTTTAGAGGAGGGCATTAGCCTTAGAGGTAGGTTTAGTTGAGGAAAGAGTGGGAGAAGAAGGAGCAGGTATTTCAAATAAAAACTATTTTTTGTGATATATTTTATTTTGAGAGTGCAAAGAAAAAGATAGAATAGGAAGAGGATCACCAGGTAAAGTGAAGGATATGTTCTTTTAAAGATAGAAATGGTTTGAATATAGACTGAAGAATGGGAGCTAGGAGTAGGATAACCAGACATCCTGGTTTGCCAGGTACTGAGTGTGTAGATAGATAGATAGATAGATAGATAGATAGATAGATAGATAGAGATAGAGATAGATATAGATATATAATATATTTTTTAAAATCTTTATTGTTAAAAGTATTACATAGATCCCCTCACGATTAACCTCTTCCAGCCTGCTCCCATGCCCCTCTCCCCCCACAGGTCCTCACCACACCATTGTATGTGTCCATGGGTTATGCATATATGCATACAAAGTTCATTGGCTGATCTCTTCCTACCCACCCACCGTCCCCTACCTTCCCTTTGAGGTTCCACAGTCTGTTCATGCTTTTATGTCTCTGGATCAATTTTGTTCATTAGTTTATGTGGTTCATTAGATTCTACATGTGAGACTTTATGATAGTTATCTTTCTCTGACTAGCTCACTGAGGTGTATTTTGTAATGTAGGACTTTCATTGCTGAAACCAGGACAGTCTCCGGCAAATCAGGACAGTTGGTTACCATAGCCGAGAGATATGCTAATGACTTAGGAGAAAGTGGAAATAATTGTTGGAGCAAGGTCTGTAAAATCAGGAAACGAATCTTAAAAGTCCTGTCAAACTGAAAAAACAAAACAAAACCCAAGACACTTTTTGATGACGCATTTTCATTGTTCAAACTGAACAGCAAACAATTCCAGGATGAGGACCATTGGTCCATTGTGAGAGACCACTTGTTTGCACCTCAAGTTGTTGCCAAGGGTTTAGTTCCACCACAGCTGCAGAGCTCATTTTTTAAACATGAATCACTGAGGATTAAAATGAGTCTAAGGAAAAGACAAAGG